GCATTTTACATCGATTTACCAGACTTTTTTTAGTGACTGTTACAACTTGCTCCTCTGTTACAGATAACCCCACCTATGGGGTAAGTTGTAACATCTGGACTCACTCTGCTTTTGGCTGAACTGTGCGTTTAAGGGTGTGCCCTGCCCTCCCAACTGTTTGGAGACACTGTTTTAAATGACAGAAAAGCAAATTTCATTTTAGATACACCGCTGTATGCAAAAGTTTGGCGGCCCTGTTTTGTTGATTTTCTAAGTGAAAATAAGTTCAAACATCCTCTACAGAGAACACACCTCTGCACATTTTAATGCACAATTTTAATGCACAATGATTGTTTATTTGTGTAATTTTGCCAGTGCAAAAGTTATGGCACATTGTCTATTTTATGTTTAATTTTTCACATATATTATAAATTATGCGCCTATAAGGCTGATATGTGTATATGAGCTCAGTTCTGATTGACTTTACTGTATTGTGCCTCATTTAAAAAGCAGCCTGGGCTGAAACATTCCTTAGAACTTTAGTGTGAATGGGCAGAGGTAATTTGTTGTAGGCTGAATCAGCGGATATCTGTAAATTTTATGGTTTTTGTGACCTCACAAAAACAGTGAATTCTAAATGGGCAGCTTATGCAGCTTAATTTCCGTATTTCTTATATATGGCCTGAGCAACGAATGATATGTTTTGAAAACTTTACCAGCATTTACATATTACATCAAAGAATTTTGTTAAAAAGAGTGAGGAAAATGAGACGGGCCCTTTAATATACAGAGGGCGTCATGTTTCAAAAGTGGGTCAGATAACATGACAATGAACTGATAATTATAAAACGTTACTCACATCTTCACTTCTTCCAAAAATACATTCTAGGTTACAATGTCCGAATCCACACTGTATAAATTATTATTGAATAAACTAACAAAAGTGATTAATATGACAAGTCGATTAGTAGGGTACGTGGACAGCATGCACCCGTGAATGGTGCGTCCACCCACACGCAGTTTTCTGGACACAGGCAAAGGAGAGAACAAAGAAGGCAGCAGTGCGAGACGCAGAGTGTGGAGGAACAAACGGCATGCAAGGAGGAACAGAAGCTTAATAGGAGAGAGAGAGATAAAAAGACAGAGAGAGAGAGAGAGAGACAGACAGAGAGAGAGAGAGAGAGAGAGAGAGAGAGAGAGAGAGAGAGAGATAGGACACATATTACAAGAAGATTGTGTCTTTGTCTTTAATCTTGCCCTTTGCACTACATAGTGCATTATTTTGGAAGTTTGAGAAACTTGCAGCGCAGTGTGCACTGCAATAGGTAGTGTACCTACAATGTAGCCTCGCAAACATGGAATATCCATAATGCACTGTGCTGGTTGCAACAGAATATGACAACTATTGCAAACAATAGTTACTTCTGTTCCCTATAATAGTGCTCTGTATAGTGCTGTAATGTAGGGAATAGTGATTAGGGGACCATTTCAGTTCCCTATAACAGTGTTCCATATAGCACTGTAATGTAGGGAATAGTGATTAGGGGATCATTTCAGTTCCCTACAATAGTGTTCTATATAGTGCTGTAATGTAGGGAATAGTGATTAGGGGACCATTTCAGTTCCCTATAACAGTGTTCCATATAGCACTGTAATGTAGGTAATGGTGTTTAGGGAACCATTTTAGTTCCCTATAATAGTGTTCTATATAGTGCTGTAATGTAGGGAATAGTGATTAGGGGACCATTTCTGTTCCTTAATACAGTGTTCCATATAGTGCTCTAATGTAGGGAATCGTGATTAAGGGACAATTTCAGTTCCCTATAATAGTGTTCTATAAAGTGCTCTAATGTAGGGAATAGTGATTAGGGGACCATTTCAGTTCCCTATAACAGTGTCCTGTATAGTGCTCTAATGTCGGGAATAGTGATTAGGGGACCATTTCAATTCCCTATAATAGTGTCCTGTATAGTGCTCTAATGTCGGGAATAGTGATTAGGGGACCATTTCAGTTCCCTATAATAGTGTTCTATATAGTGCTGTAATGTAGGGAATAGTGATTAGGGGACCATTTCAGTTCACTATAACAGTGTTCCATATAGCACTGTAATGTAGGTAATGGTGTTTAGGGAACCATTTTAGTTCCCTATAATAGTGTTCTATATAGTGCTCTGATGTAGGGAATAGTGATTAGGGGATCCTTTCGGTTCCCTATAATAGTGTTCTATATAGTGCTCTAATGTAGGGAATAGTGATTAGGGGATCCTTTCTGTTCCCTATAATAGTGTTCTAAATAGTGTTAATTATTTTCCATTGTAGGGAATAGTGATTAGTGGACCGTTGTGAACACAGTGTGTAAGATTCACAGAGCCGGGTGCCAAAGCCAAAGGGAAGGCCTGCTGCGGCCTGATCTGTTAACGAACATTTGGTCAGTGCTTTTTTTTTTTCCTTCCCCCGCCCACGCTGATGAAGCTCCAAAACTAGCCTCTAATCCGCTGCGTGCAGTACAAACCGAGAGAAGTCAGAAATGGTACACACACGTGATCACGTAAAAAACACCTTTCCAGATCACTAGGTAAAGAAGACACGGCGCTGAGTCGAGCATGTGTTAAAACCTACTCACTGACAGACACACATGCAGGTATTCCTATCTTTGTGGGGTATGTATATTAACTTCTGTACTGCTGTGCTACACTTAACCCAACACTAACTCTGCAGAAAAAGGCTAATCTTACCTTTTAGCTCTTACTTTTTCAAATAAGAGCTGTATTTTATGTTTAAAGGCAGTTATTTCTCATGGGGACCTATAGTTAAAGGCCATGTGTATACATGCAGTCATATTCAAAAGTTTAAATATTTACAGACAAACTACCTTTTTATTGATTTTCTAGGTAAGGTACAGGGAATAAACTTAAATATAACAAATATTGTATTTTTCTGGAAATTTTAGTGCACGTTTTTCTGTTTGTTTGCTGAGTTTAGCATATTGGAAGACATAAAATGGGTGCCATATTTTTTTCACAGGCCACATTTTCTGTTTTTTTTTCCTCCAAATGTGCTAAATTGGGCAAATAAACAGTATTTGTGTTCTTTATAGAGGATGTCTTCATTTGTTTTCACCTAGAAAGCCAACACGTCATTTGACCAGGGGTGCGCAAACTTTTGCACACGACTGTATGTGTACACGCTGACTAACAGGCCCAATCTGGTTACTGTAGCAAAACAAGGCATGCATATACCTGCCCAGCCAAGCCCAAAGTAGAAACCAGCCAGACGCTCTTTACTCACTCCACTTTCCACCTTCATCCTCCAGGGTTTTGGGTGGTTCTGTCTCCGCTTTGCCCCGAGGCCGTGCTCCTAAGCTGGGTTAAAGACCACCAGAATCTCCCACCAGAGCCCTGGAGGTGTGGGGGTGAAAGGTGGAAAAGCCCTGCTGACTGTTCAGGGGATGTCATAACACCCTTATGAGGCTCAGCGGAGGATTACTGGGATTATTCCCTTTAACTGACACCCAGGTAAAGCCTAGCGTTTTTGTTTTGAACACTGACGCACAACGACCGAATTTCCAAAAGTAATATTTCATACGCTGTCAAGTGAGATTCACCCACGGATTTTAATGTATGGTATTATGAACAACAGTGTTCTCTTAAATGTTGCGAAAAGTTTTAAAATGTATAGTTATAAAAAGGATAATTCTGGTCCCAGAGTCTGGTTAGCTGAGCTGTTATAAAACACTTGATGTAAACACATCTATGACTGCCTCACAACAACTTAACTTTGTATTAATGCACTAAATCACTCATCATTGAATCAAAATGAATATCTTGTAATGTTGACTTACTATGTTGAAATGGCTTATTTTCAAAAAATATTGACTTGCGATGGTGAAATAATGACTTGCTATGCCAAAATAATGACTTAGTATCTTATAATAAAGATGTATTATCCCAAAATAATGACTTATAATAATTATTTTGAGCTAAGAAGCCAATATTTCAAGAAAATGTCATTATTCTAAGATAATAAGTCAATATTTCAGAAATGTCATTATCCTGAGATGTTAAGTCAAAATTCTAAGGACAATACATACATTTGAGATGTTAAGTCAATATTCTGAAAATATGTCATTATTTTGAGGTGTTAAGTCAAACTTCTGAGAAAATATGTCATTATTTTGATATGTTAAGTCAGAATTCTAAGGACAATACATACATTTGAGATGTTAAGTCAATATTCTGAGAAGGTGTCATAATTTTGAGATGTTAAGTCAAAATTCTGAGAAAATATGTCATTATTTTGAGATGTTAAGTCGGAATTCTAAGGACAATACATACATTTGAGATGTTAAGTCAATATTCTAAAAATAGGTCATTATTTTGAGATGTTAAGTCAGAATTCTAAGGACAGTACATACATTTGAGATGTTAAGTCAATATTCTGAAAAGGTGTCATGATTTTAAGGTGATAAGTCAAATTTCTGAGGAAAATATGTCATTATTTTTAGATATTAAGTCAATATTCTGAGAAACATACATTAATTTGGAATGTTAAGTCGAAATTCTGAGGAAAATATGTCATTATTTTGAGTTGTTAAGTCAATATTCTGAGAAATTGTCATGATTCTGAGATGTTAAGTCAAATCAATTTTATGCCAATTTTAAGTCCATTTTTCCATACCACACAGTCTAACTGCAGAAAACAATGTTGCTGAACAGCACAGTGATAAAATATTATGAGAAAACCCGAACAGACTGGATTTTAAAGCGCTTCTCAAGTTGGTTTTGTGCTGAATTTGATACTCTTATTGACTTATTTATTCCATATCTAATCTCTGTACAATAACATCGTCGAACGTAGTAAAGTTACTGTACCTGTCAGCCCGTCGCTGAGACAGACTGTAAATCTCCCCAGTGGGCGTGACCAAAGGCGGGGCGACGCGCTGCCTTTCCTTCTCATTGGCTGACGGTCGCCAAGAGGCGTTGCTGGGTGATAAAAACCGTCCACGCGCTGCAGTCTGTGTTCTTCTTCAGTGAGACTCGGTGGTAGATTCAGTGAGGAGCAGTTCGATAGTTATCACTCCGTTTCCACATTCATTTTCTTCACGGCTTGTTTTTAAGAGCAGCTGAGGCAAAAGTTGGCCATGGATTTCCTGTGGTTGTTGTTTATCTTGCTGAGCGCCTGGTGCTCGTCAGCCGAGCGGCACAGCGTCTACTGGAACAGCACAAACCCGAAGTGAGTAACGTTATGTGTTTACGTTTAGCCTGTCGTTGAGTTTAGCATGTACTGCAAAGCTGAGCATAAGCTACACGCGTAGAGGGGAATTCATCCGAAATTTTCAAAATTTCTGCATAAGTCAGTTATTGAGATGTAAACAAAGTCAGTGTGGTTTGGTATGAAACGATTCATTGTAGAGAAACTCGAAATTGAGATTTCTTTACAGTGGTGGTGATTGGAACCAGGGGGCTGTGTTGCATCCAAAGCCACCAGTGAACCTAAACGTGTCTTCTGATTTTTAGATGTGATTATGAGGGTTAAATAGTGGTAAATCTGTAAAAATCAACTTTCAGACTATTTAGCCTCACAATGCCTTGATGTACCCCTCCTCCATTAATAGCATAGGCTGTTTTAGGCCAAATTTTTACCTCACAACTTTAGTAAAACAATGCATCAGGCAGCGAGTTAATAACCTAATAATGTAATAACGTTCTGTGAGGGAGCCTTTAAAGGCATTAAACTCCGCAGACGTCTGGTTCCCATCACCACCACTGTGAACAGTGCTAAGTTTCTCTAGAATGGAGCCACTCAGACCACTCTGAATTAGTTTGTTTACATCTTAACCATTGAATTTTGTACAAATGAACATTGGGTGGAACTCCCCTTTATCTCTTCATTACCTTTGCCTGATTTTAAGTAGTTATAACTGTCTTAAATGCTCACTGTACAAACGCAGAGGGGATTTTCACTGGACATTCATTGGGAGATTATGTTTGTAACTGTGGCCTACTTAGTTTGCACTTCTTAGCATTTATATTGTTTTAGTAAGTGCACATAGAGGAACATCATAACCTGAACCATTCTGAGGTAAAATCCTAGTTAAATGTTGTATACATAATTAGATTTTTAGGGTGTAAAGTCTTTCAGAGTGGTTTGATATGAAGTGCTTCATACCAGAGAAGCCTGGAGTCAGAATTGTTCACAGTGGTGGTGATAGGAACCAGACGTCCGAAGAGTTTAATGCCTCTGGAAGCTACATTACATAAAGTTATTACCAGAAATGGTTATCAATACTTTGCCTGATGCCTGATACATTGTTTTGTGATAGTTTGAAGATGAGATTTTAATCCAAAACTGATTTTTTTGTTTTTCAATTTACTGCTATTTTACCATTATCAGCATTACATTCTAAAAACTCTGAAGAAATGTTGAGGTTCACATGTTTTGGATAGTAAATTAAACAGCTATATTTGCATTGCAGGCATTAGAACCCCAGGTTCCAATCACCCCCACAATAATGAAATCCGAGTTGTTAAGTTTCTCTTCAATGCACCGCTTCTCATCAAACCATCTTGCGTGACTTTGTTTACATCTCAATGCCTGAATTCCCCTTTAAGGGCAGTTTTGTTACACCCTGCAGTGAAGCTTTTGTTTTTTATCTGACTCCAACCTTTAACCTGCACTAACTTCACTGTGATTACTGTCTTTGAAACCTCTTTATTTGACCATTATCTAGTACTCTGTTGTGTTAGAAAGTAGGAAAGTTGACTTGCTGCATTGCACACAGTTCACACAGGAAGATAGGGCAGCAAAGAACACGAAAACAAATGCTTAGACAGATGGACAGACAGATCAGATTAAATATACTCACACTTCTGCAGTGCTCTGTCTCACACGCACACAGATGGGGCAAAAAATAGACGGGCATGAGGGGACTAGACATACACGTCTGTAGTAGCCAGCTTATTTTTACAGGAAGTCTTATATTACAGTGTGTTACCAAGGGCCAAGGGGGACATACAGCTGTATCTCAAAGGGTTAAGGATTGGCTGATTGAGCATGTGTTCTGATTTCACTCTTCCTTGTAGAGGCTGAAGTGACAAACAAGCACTTTTGTGGGGATCGATGCAAGGCGCAGTTTCTCGGCCTTTAAAAGGGCTTTGTTGGGCTTTTAGAATGAAATCTGAGAACTTGAGAGCTTCGTGATATGTCTTACAGGCTATCTGACCACAATTGTGTTTCATCATAAACCGCTTTTATGAGTTTAAATTCCCCATGGGCAGTTCCAGAGTAATCATGTTTTTGTTGTAAATGGAGTTTGGTCACCTCTATCCATTTCCTCATAACATCTATGATAGTTGCGTGCCGTCATAACAAGCAATGGTAGGATTTTCAGTCCCTTCGCTGGTTGATGTTGACGTGACCACTGGGGGATTGTTAGGGATGGGAATGGCGCAAGGCGGCCTCAGGTTGTACTATTAGTCAGTCACATGTTTTATGCCTTATCTGGTGCGTCATTATTAATGTGATTGTGTAATGCTAGAGTTACCTAGAGTTTCCTGCTTCAGCCAGACTCTGCACAGCCTGACTCACCATCAGTCAGCGGAGAGAGGGAGGCTAAGCAACAGCTGACCAAAAAAAAGAGAGGGAGAGGCAGAGATGGGTCAGAGAGAAGGGGGGGATTGAAACTCAACTCTTTCAGCTAGAGAAGAAGAGTGTGACGGAAAGAGAAATCGGAGATGCTGAGGACTGGCGCAGCACAAGAAAGGGGAAAAGAGAGGACAGAAAGCATCATTTAAGCATCATTGTAGATACAGCGTTGCTATAAATGTGATTTTTTTTTTTTTTTGTAGCTTTACTTAATATATGTGGTTGGCAGTTCTCTTCAAGTTGATGCTGTAACTGAAGTTTCTTTCAGGATTAACAAAGTTTCGAGCCAGCTAGCTGTCTGTCTGCCCATCTATCCATCTATGAAGAGAGTATAACAGTAGTGGGGTGCCTCATGATCCAGTCCTGGGCCCATTTATTTTGGTCCAAATTCATGCTTTCACTTTGAGTTGCATAATCAAAACAAGAAATTCATAATATAACTCAAAGTCTTCAGGCCACAGCTAAATTTAGACAGCCTTTTGGCACATTCATATCATATATACAGACAGACAAATGCGTCTTAGAGTTATAAATATAATCCCATCTGTAGTGGCCCATAATCTGGTTGGTGGCTTGCTATTTGTACACCATTTTCACTGTAAAACCTCTCCGTTTCCCACTTGCTGTTTAATCCCATATTCTAAGGAAAAGAAAGGAGCACAGCTAGATTTGATCTATTGCGTTTAATCTGTGGCTTTCATTTCCTTGCTTTCGGTTCAGTTTATTTGTTCTAATTCGCTCCCAGTTGGGCACTTCTGTGACTGTTCCCAATCTCAGTGATCAATCAGAGCAAAAAGCTCAGCTATTCAATCCCTGAGTGGATTAGTCAGGCATGGCTAATGGATGGCCTACACTCCTGGTGTGGAGGTGTGAATTGGTAAGCAGCCGAACCACCTGAGTCCGCCTATGACTGGAACACAAAAACACAAACAAGCACTTGTGCCTACTTACAAGAGCGCGTCACGTGTGGACCTGTTTATGAGCGCGCGTGAAGGAGTGTGAACAGTAAAGGCTTAATCCCGAGCGTGTGCCTTTTGGAAAGTTGCCACTCTGGTTTGGCGAGCGTGCATGCTAGTTTCTGACAACGGGCTTGTCAGGTTTGATGTCTTTACACCCCGTCTGCAGGGTTACGTGGACTTGCTTTGTTTTTCTGACTGCTGCATGCCTGTGCTTGCAATCCACATACATGTTTTCGTGCTAAAGGGGGAAAACATAATGAAGTTAGCAACAGCTGGCCCCAAAACCGCTAGACAAAGAGAATACGTTTGGGTTTTAATTCATGCTCGCACGAGGGCTGCACGAGATATCGTGAGAATGCTATTATTTACAAACGCTATCATATTGATATCGTATAAAGGTTGCAGTAACGTGACTTTATGCAGTGCCCTCTGATAAACCGGTGACTCACTTACGCACATACACCAGAGTGGCACATGTGGAATGTGTGATTTGGGTATATTTAGTAGGTGGCGAGGCCTGCCAGCAGACGTGTTGCTATACTTGACCATCAGCTGTCCACTCATCCTCTGGCCATTCCCCCTCGGCTCTCGCTCTCTTCCCTGTTCCAGTACCTGTCTGTTCTCCTCTCCATCTTCACTCCCTCACTCCCTCCTTCCGCTTGCTGCATTTGCCTCCATTTAGCTTGTTAATCACTGTCCTGCTTTTTGTCCACCCTTATACACACAGTTTCTCTGCATATCAGCCATCGGAAGAAAAACTCATGTTAAATCTATAAAAATGATAAAGAGAGGCAACATTTTAGGGCAATGTTCATGAGGCTACAAATGCCCTTGACAAGTGATAAAGCCCTGCATAAACCTTTTATAGCCACTTACTCCACTTGAAATAAGTATATAGTATAAAGTTTAACCATAATAGAGGAGTGACAGAACATTGTTTTTATTAAAATGTTTTTAACATATTTGAATGAAATTTAAAAATTTGAAAGGTTTCGTTTTCAAAAAGTGTTAACACAATTAAAACACAAGCCTAATAATAAGTAGAAAGGGAAAGTTTGTGAACAATCTTTAAGTGGCCTTGACATAGCAAGCTAATAATGCTTCAGAAGTTTAGCAGGTGCAAAACATCTTGATGTTGATTGTTTTTGATAACTTATTTGGGTTTATATAATAATTCCAGGTAGTTGCTATGAGGTTGTTCTGGTGTTTTAGCTTGATGTGGTTGCTAAGGTGTTGCCACAGTATCCCAGGTAGTTGTTAAGGTGTTTCTAGGCCGTTGCTCTGGTTTCACTAGCATACTTGTATGATGGTGAAAGGTTTGGCTTATTGTGGTGGAATAAGAGGAATTTCGGTAAGGGGAAACACTGTATAAACACAATAAGTCAAATTGGTTAAAAAAAAAAAACACAAGTAACTAATTTGGTTATAGGCTCTACAGTCCTGCAAAGTTTTGTGGTTCTAGCTCCAGCTGTAGGACGAATAGCACTGCAAATTTTGGATGGTAAAATACTAAGACTAAAACAAAGACCAGCAAGTTGGCTTCTCCAAGCCAACTTAACATATATATCATATAAATCATATAACAGTGACAATATGTAGCCTTCAGGGTCGTAGTGGTGGTTTATTGCG